AAAAGTCCTACTGGGCCTTATGAAATTAGATTCAATATTGGACATGGTAGTGCATACCTTTGATCACGGGACTTGGGAGGCAGAGGCAAAGATCACAGGATCTTTGTGAATTCAAGGCCAGCCTGGACTATATAGCAAGTTCTAGGACAGCTAGGACTACATAGGGAGATGCTGTCTCATCCCCTCCCCACTCCACCTCCACACACTACGGCCATTTGACTATGGCTGCCAGACAGAAAAATAGAAACTGGAAATCCTCTTACTAGGGATACTTACGAGAACCTGTATTTGTCCCCACTGAGAAGCTTTTTTGAAAAAACATTCTGCAAACTAGAACAAAGACAAAATGTTAACATTTAAGGGTAAATGAGTAAGGAGCTGGAGACAATGGCTTCAAAGGCAGACAGCCATTGGCACTTACTTGCGGGAGGTCAATCCTGTACCAGGTGTGTCCAGGCATCATCTCATTGAGAAATAGAACTGTGCCTATTGTCCCTACTGACAAGTAAATAGAGGATGCAGAACCTGAATGACCTGCCATATCAGACATCAGAGGACCATGAAGGTCTTGATCTGCACCCTCTGAAAAACCCCACAAGGGAAGTAGAGGCAAGAGTATTAGAAGTTCAAGGTCATCTTCAGAGATATAATGAGTTAGAAGCCAGCCTGGGCCATGTAGGACCTGGTTCCAAACACCAAAAGGGCTGGAAAGAGAGATAAGGTGTTAAGAGCACTGTTAACTCCTCCACCTCTAGGTGGTTCCTAGAACTGACATGGTGGCTCACCACGTTCTATAACTCAGGTGCCAGGGCATCCTGCATCCTCTTCTGACCTAGATCGGCCTCTGAGAGTATCAGGTACACATATGATGCACAAACATACATGAAGGCAAAACACTCATACATCTCTAATAAAAAGAAACCTAAGTCAGGAGTGATGGGACACACCCTTGATCCTGGCATTCAGGAGGCAGAGGAAGGCAGGCTTCTGTGTGTTCAAAGACAGCCTGGTCTACAGAGTAAGTTCCAGGACACCCAAGGCTAAGTAGAGAGAACCTATCTCAAAAAAGAAAGAAAGAAAATCTAAACTAAAATAAGCAAGGTAAGCAAGCAAACAAAACCAAAATAACTCGCTTGAAATGAAGTTACCACAAATCTGTATTAGGACCAAAGCCAATGAGGACTCCCAGGACATGTATGTCATTGAATAAAACTATTCATGCAGACAAACAACTCAAGGGAAAACAACAGATTTTTTAAGCCAGATCAGATACAGTACAATGAAAACGCACAAGTAGCCAATGGGAAAATAAAACAATTCTGGCTCTAAAAGTGACCTCAGAGTCAGGTGATGGTACACTTGGGAGGTAGAGGCAGGCGGATCTCTGAATTCCAAACTAGCCAGGTCTACAGAGTGAGTTCCAAGACAGCCAGGACTACACAGAGAAACTTGTCTCAAAAAAGAAAGAAAGGAAGGAAGGAAGGAAGGAAGGAAGGAAGGAAGGAAGGAAGGAAGGAAGGAAGGAAGGAAAGAAGGAAGGAAGGAAACAAACCTCAGAGACTGGAACTTGACACAGCTGCCTAGCCTCTCGCTGACAGAATAGTGACCAAGGAAGCTGTCTCAAGCAACAGAACAATATGAATCAAGAGCATCTACAGATGTTCAGGATTCATCTAGAGATTTTGCCTTTTAGAGGCTCACTCAACAGGGCAGTAAGAAAACAAGTAAAGATCCATGTTCCCTGCAGATTGGCTTCTGAGCAGAAGGTTTCAGTGTGTGTGTGTGTAAGATCAAGAGGAATTCAGGAAAATCAGGCTGTACAGAATATCTAATGATGAAACTTTTCACATGAAGTGTTCTTTGTGGTTAACTCTGTTAGGTTCCTGAGAACCACAAACCTTGCAGACCAGCCCAGAGGGAGTCGCTCCTAAGGTGAGCACTTCCAATTCTGTTCATGACTGCAAGGTCAGCTGTTGTCTGCAGCAGTAACAGTAATAACAAAACTACAGAGACTTGTGGTAGCTCATTTCCTTCTCTCAAAAAAGGAAAGGCTAGACATGCCTTAAATTCCAGCACTCAGGAGACAGAGGCAGGTGGATCTCTCTGTGTTCAAGGCCAGCCTGGTCTACAAAATGACTTCCAGGAAAATCAGGGCTAAATAGAAAGACTCTGCCTCAAAAACACAAACAGGAGAAACCTTAAACTGACTAGAAGTTCTGAATGAATAGGTTTTGTGGTAACTTCTGTGATGGCATGGATGGAGACGACATGTCAGATAAAATCGATGTGGCTAACACCTATTGTCTCCACACTCAGGAGATGTGGTAGGGGGATTGCAAGTTCAAAGACAGCCTGAACTACACAGGGAGGAAAAAAAAGTGTAAAAAGAACAGGACTGGAATATGAGATCTGGCCCTCAGCCGACTGTGAGACTGGAACACTGACAACAGCAACCCAACATTTTCCCCAGGACCCTGCCACACGGCTGGCCTCTGCCTGAGAGTTACATTTGTATCCGTATCTTTGTAGTCCTGACCCTAGGATATATCACTCAGCCAGGAAGAAACAAAGGGATCCAGTAGCCTGGCTTCACAGCCTGGAGATGGTCTCTAACTTCTTCCTTGGTTTTATTTAGACTGACTATGTGATATACAGGGTTAAGCTTGTATTTTTCATGAGCCAATGACACGCTTCTTAGAATTATCGTATTAATCACAGGGTTTATCGTACACTTTCACACACATACAGTGCATGTGTCTGGGTGGAGTGTGTGCATGAATGTCATGGTGCACACTTAAAGGTCAGAAAACAACTTCACTGTGGTTTTGTTATTGTTGTTATTTAAGGTACTATCTCACTATGTATCCCTGGACAGCCTAGAGCTACAGCAATTCTCCTACAGAGATGACATGTATGTGTACCGCCACACCAACCTAGTTAACACACTGATTATCACAATTACGTTTACTGTGTAACTGTCCCTCTAATTAGCATTTTAAGAATCAGGACTACACAGCATCAAATTCCATCTTGGTCTGGAAAAAAATGCACCTAGTCTGGAAGTCATTGTTTAACTTCTTGAGAAAAACCAGGACAGTGGAGCCTGGCTCTGAGTCCCAGGAATGAGACTGAGCTAGCTTGAGTATGAACATCTGTGGACTAGATAAAGTAAAACCAGCATGTCTTAGGCAACCTCTCCTTCATGATTTCACCCTTGTGCTTTGTAACTCACCAATCCATAATGTTGGTGGATAATGCAGCTGAAAACCCCAGGATGTTGAAGCTTATTTCCGTGGCAGTGCACAATGCCAGTCCTCCCATGACTGGGATGAGGGACAGGTTGACCAGCAGCCCTGACAAGAACAAAATAGAAGTGTGCATAAGTCTGGGTGCACACAGGTGATGGCATACATGTACAGGTTAGAGGACAACCTGTGGGAGGCAGTTTTCTCCTTCCACTATTACGTCCTGGGGATTAAACTCAGGCTGTCAGTCTTGGCAGCAGACTCCTTCACACACTGCTGGCTCCTCCAGATTATTTCTTATTGAGAAGGAAAACCAAACCAAACCAAACCAAACTCCAACCAACCAAACAAAAAAAATACCAAACCAAACCAGTTATGGTGTACATCTTTAATACCAGCACTAGGGAGGCAGAAGCATGCAGGTCTCTGAGTTCAAGGCCAGCCTGGTCTACAAAGCTAGTTGCAGGACAGCCAGGGATATACAGAAAAACCCTGCCTTGAAAAACAAAACAAAACGAAACACCACACTACACAATAGATTAAAATACTAAATTTTAGTAAAAATTTTAGGGACGAAAGAGATGGCTCAGCTGCTTTGACTACTTGCTGCTCTTTCTGAAGACTCTAGTTTGATTACCTGAGGCTTATCACTGCCTGTGATTCAGTAACAGGGGATCTGACACTTTGTTCTGGCCTCTGCAGGGACCCATACACATGTGTGCGCTCGCTCGCGCTCTCTCTCTCTCTCTCTCTCTCTCTCCCTCCCTCCCTCCCTCCCTCCCTCCCTCCCTCCCCCCTCTCTCTCACACACGTACTCATACACACATACATGCACATTCACACACATGTACTCACACACATACACATGCACACTCACACACACACACATTCACACACATACACACACAAATAAATATTTTATTAAAAATGCATTCAATGCAATGCCATCACCTTTCCCACCTACATTACTCCCAGAATTGAGGTCAGATACTATTCAGCACCTTTTCAACTTTATACACAGGACTTTAAGAGCACTGACTCTCTTCTTCAGCAACCATGTGGTGGTTCACAACCATTTGTAATGGGATCCAATGCCCTCTTTTGGTGTACCTGAAGACAGCTACAGTATACTCACATACATGCAATAAATAAATCTTTAAAAAACAAAACAAGCAAACAAACAAACAAACAAAAAACCTAGTGCCTCACAGGCAGTGGTAGTGCACACCTTTAAACTCAGTTTGAGGCCAGCCTGGTCTACAGAGTGAGTTGCAGGACAAGCCAGGGAGACACAGAGAGAACCCTGTCTTGAAAAACAAACAAAAAACAACACAAAAATACCTCACCCATTTTCCAATGCCTCCCTAACAGAGTCCTTTTTGATAAACTTCACTAACACTTTCTAACTGTTCTTGACAAGTGAATAGTTGCTTGAAGCATGTTCCTTATAATAGAAGCCAAATCATTTAGAAGATTTTAGAATCATCTGAAATGTTTGTTGCTGTTGTTTTGAGATAGCATCTCACCGTGTGGCTTTGTATGTCCAAAAACTATGGAGCACAGGCTGGCCTTGAAACAGAGATCCACCTGCCTCTGCTTCTCAAGCTGGGATTAAAGACATGCACCACTATACTTGGATTGAAATAATACATTTGTATGGATAACTTGTTAAGGTTCATTTGTTTTGTGTTTCTTGTGGCTTTTGGGAATTGATCTTGATCTTCTGATTATGGTTTATTGATTATGAGGTATATCTCCAGCTCTGATTCTTGTTTCTAATAACCAAAAAAAATTGTGCAGTTCTAAAAGCATCCATGACAAGGATCCTGTGGGCAACTGGCCCTTCTCCCTCCTGCTGCTTTAGGCAGCCAACCTTCATTCCAAGGTGTTGTCTTTGTGTGCATGTGTAAGCCCAGGACCTCAGCACACCAGGCAAGTACTCTACCATTGATATGTGCTCCAATTCTGATCTTGTCTTTTATTTAACATAAGCAAATGCAAATATGAACCCAGACATTTCTTACTTTTAAAATATTTATTTGATCTAATATTCTGCACCTTTTAAAAAACGTTTTTAAGATTTATTTATTACAGCCAGGGCTACACAGAGAGACCCTGTCTCGAAAAACCAAAAAAAAAAAAAAAAAAAAAGATTTATTTATTTTATGTATGTGAGTACATGTGGTTCTCTTCAAACACACCAGAGGAGGAGGACATCAGCTCCATGTGGTTGCTGGGAATTGAACTCAGGACCTCTGGAAGAAGAAGAGCCAGTGCTCTTAACTGCTGAGCCATCTCTCCAGCCCTATTCTGCACCTTTTTTTGTTTGTTTGTTTTTGTTTTTCGAGACAGGGTTTCTCTGTGTAGTCCTGGCTGTCCTGGAACTCACTCTGTAGACCAGGCTGGCCTCGAACTCAGAAATCAGCCTGCCTCTGCCTCCCAAGTGCTGGGATTAAAGGCGTGCACCGCCACCACCGCCCAGCTGTTCTGCACCTTTTGGTTGTTTTTTGTTTTTTTCCATCATTTTGTGTGTTCTGTAGACATGTATGGCTGTACACCACCTGCATGCAGTGCCCCTGAAGGCCAGAAGAGGGCATCACACAGCATCCCAAGGAACTGGAGTTACGGATTGTTCTGGGTGCTAGGAATTGAACCAGGGTATTATTCTGGAAGATCAGCCAGTGCTCTTAATCACTGAACCAATTGCCCCATCTAGCTTGAATATAACAATTTTGAATATGCTGATTTTTATTTTTAAAGATTTGTTTTGACTGATGTCTATGTGTATGTATCTATGTACATGTGTGTCACTTGTGAGCAGGTGATCTCAATAGCCAGAAGAGAGTGTTGGATTCCTGGAGCTGGAGTAACAGTAAGTTGCAAGCCTCAAATATGGATCCTGAGAACTAAACTCAGGTTCTCTACATAAGTAGCAAGTGCTCTTAACCACTGAGCCATCTTTCTAGCCAGGAATATACTGACTTTTAAAGAGTTCATAGGGAAGGGGCACTGAAGAGGTAGCCTAGCAGATCAGGGCACTGGCTGCTCTTGCAAAGGACAAGATTCCCCACACCCACATGGTGGCTCATAACCATTTGTAAATCCAGCTTCAGGAAACCCTAGGGCAGCAGGCACCACAGAACGCACATATACATGAAAGCAAAACATCTATACACATACAATTTTAAATTTTTTAAGAAGTTCATAGGGTGTGTATCTGACATGCTAAGGAAATAATCAGAAACAGTTTGTATATTATTAAAGAAAATCTGACCTCCTGAGCATTGGGGAGGATGGAAAAAATGTTGCCTTAAGAGTCTCAAAGCCTTGGGGCTGGTGAGATGGCTCAGTGGTTAAGAGCACTGACTGCTCTTCCAGAGGTCATGAGTTCAAATCCCAGCAACCACATGGTGGCTAACAACCATCTGTAATGATATCTGATGCCCTCTTGTGGGGTGTCTGAAGACAGCTACAGTGTACTTACATATAATAAATAAATAAAAATTTAAAAAAAAAAAAAAAAAAAAAAAAAGAGTCTCAAAGCCCGGGCTGGAGAGATGGCTCAGCGGTTAAGAGCACTGACTGCTCTTTCAGAGGTCCTGAGTTCAAATCCCAGCAACCACATGGTGGCTCACAACCATCCGTAATGAGATTGGATGCCCTCTTCTGGTGTGTCTGAAGACAGCTACAGTGTACTCACCAATAAAATAAATAAATATTTAAAAAAAAAAAAAAAAAAAAAAAAGAGTCTCAAAGCCCCAGACAGTGATGATCCATGGGGCTTTGATCCCATCACTCAGGAGGCAGGGGCAGTCTGATCTCTATAAGTTCAAGGTCAGACTGGTCTACAGAGCGAGTTCCAGGACAGCCAGGGATACACAGAGAAACTTTTGTCTCCAAAAAAAAACCCCAAAAGAGTCACAAACTACACTGGGGAGGCCACCTGACTGTCCATTAAAGAGGGAGTCCCTATCACCGAATATGGGCATTGCCTTATCAGCTTTGGATCAAAGATCAGCCCTTGGAGGTATGACCAAATGATCATTTTTCAATTCCTACTCACCTCCTCACCCAGCTGGAAGCCATGAAGTACAATCCTTCTCTGACCCCTGCATTATCCCATAGCAACAGCCCCAGTACATGGTAGGCTTGATAAACAACGTACTCAAAGGACTGCAGAAGACATGTGACTGGCAAAGACACTTTTCAAGCAGTGAGAGCAAGTGATAATAGTACTGTCAGTCCTAGGCCTGTCACTAATCTATGCTCTGAGAAGCTCTGGAAAGCTGAACAAGACCCGGCACATGATGGGTAGTCAGGAACACTACAGGTAGAAAAAAGGATGAGGAGGCCCAGCCCAGACAGAAGGACCTGGAGAGGCCTTACCTGTATACTCCCCCAGAATCATTCGAGACATGATTACAGTGAAAATGGGAGCTGAGCTCTTCACTGTCTCAGCAAAGGACACTGCCACGTTCTTGAGGCTGACCAGCCCCAAAACCACCGTTGCAAACCTCAAAACAAGAAAAGAACACGGTGAGAAGGACTTTTCTACTTATACAACAGAGACTCTAAGTGCACCGTCATGAACAGTGGGCACACCTGGTCCCTCATCTCAGCCAGGAGGTTGAGTCCCAGGTAAGGGTGTCACCATTACACTCAAGGATGGTAAACACCTTCCAACCACTATTGAGTTACTTTATGTTTTAAGGACAGGGCCTCACTATATAGCTCTAGCTGTCCTGGAACTCACTATTAGACTAGACTGGCTTTGAATTCACATACAAAGAGTCATCTGCCACTGCCTCCCAGGTGCTGCAATAGAGGCGTACACCACCACACCCAGATGATTTGCTTTTTATGGTCACTCTAGAGAAGAATCTGATAAAGAGCCAGACATGGTAGTGCATACCCTTAACCCCAGCACTCAGGAGGCAGAGGCAGTCAGATCTCTTTTGAGTTTGAGGCCAATCTGGTCTACAAAGTGAGTCCAGGACATCCAGAACTATTATACAGAATTATTCTGAAAAAAAAAAAAAAAAAAAAAAAACCAGCCAAACAAACAAACAAAAAGAATCTGTGAAGGAATGCACATGGTGCCAGGCAGTGGTGGCGCACGCCTTTAATCCCAGCACTTGGGAGGCAGAGGCAGGTGGATTTCTGAGTTCTGAGTTCTGTAGACCAGCCTGGTCTACAGAGTGAGTTCCAGGACAGCCAGGGCTACAGAGAAAAACCCTGTCTCAAACACACAAAACAAAACAAACAAACAAAAACAACAGGAATGCACATGGTGGCATTAAAGGCCACAAAACTAATGGATGTCCCACAACTGTATAGTCCTATAATCCTGTGCCATGAATACACGCTCAACATCAATAATCAGCAAGGCTTCCAATAGGGTTTCCACACTTAGTAACTAGAAAGATATTGTATATCTTAAAAAGAAAAATAATGAAGACAATCAACACATTTTACCTCATGAGGCCCACGAAGAGCATAGTCATGATGAAATTGGGTGGATAAGAGAGCCGGGTTTTGTGTTGATATAAACAGCAAGGAACAAATATTTTAACACATCCAATTAATGTCGTTGACAGCATCTGCACAGCACCTGTGGAGGAGGCATGAGGCCAAGCTGAGAACAAGTTTCCTACACATGAGCACTGAATATCACACTTCATTCCAGGAGCACATTTGGGTAAGTCCCTTTAGCCCTTTCCCTCCCTCCAGGTGGCCTCTGGTCACTCAGCATTTGTGCACATTGAGCAAGGAGGCATTACCTAACATGCTGGGCTCTCCCTCTAACAGGGACAGGATGTACTTGTTGAGGAACAGTGTACAGAAGCTGAAAAAGAACCACAGCGTGAGGTAGATGAGAGCCCTTGAACTCCAGACGCCCAGGTCCGACTCAATGACAGTAGTCTCCGTGATGGTGACAGTGAGCAGGCTCTCCTCTGGGCTGCCATCACCTTTGGTAAAGACAATCTTCTCGCTCCGGTGACCAAAAAGAGATCCCCAAGTGAGAAGTGTTTTCCCTTTCGGCTCTTCTTCACAGCCAGGCGCTGTCTCCTCCAGCAGTTGGGATTTTGCTGCTGATGACATGCTGAGGGCACTTGTAAGGAGTGAATCTCAAAGATGGACCACATGGATCAAAGCAACTGCTCAGGCAGAGATACACAGCTGGAGAAAGAGGCAGCAGTCCTGGTCTGCATAAATGCTGACTCCAACACGCTGGTCTCCAGCAAAGTAAGGAAACAAAGGCTAAAATGTTAAGAAAAGAAACAACACTGTTAATTTTGAACATCTTACTTTTTTTTTTTTTTTGGTTTTTCAGGCGAGTCAGGGTTTCTTCTGTGTAGCCCTGGCTGTCCTGGAACTCACTCTGTAGAGCAGGCTGGCCTCGAACTCAGAAATCCGCCTGCCTCTGCCTCCCAAGTGCTGGGATTAAAGGCCTGCGCCACCACCGCCCGGCAACAAATTACATTCTTTTGTAACTGTGTAAGATGAAGTGCAGATATATGTGGAGGCCAGAGAACAACCTTGGGTCCTGCCTTCTACCTTGTTTGCCACTTAAGTGAGCTAGTTAGTTAGCCCACAAGCTTCCAAGGGTCCTCCTGTCTCTATTTTCTATCTTGTCTTCCAAAGATTCTCCTGGTTTTTGTTTTCAATCTTGCTAAAGCACTGAGATTATAGTTACCAGTCCCTGGAGCCTACACTGAGCTCAGGAGGTACCAAGCTGAGGCAATCCTCTTCCTTTTTCCCAGGTTGGTTCTTCCATGACTGGCTCAGCTCAGTTCAGCCCACACCAGGCTCTAATCGCTAATGACATTGTTTGCATCTTCTCAGCCTTTTCAGGAACCAGGAAACACCCACGGATAAAAGGAACCAAGTGTCCTCCTGAACTGCTAACCCTAATTTTTCATGCCTGATTTCTCCATGCCTTCCACAGAAACCCTCTGAACTTTATCCAGAGCTTCCACCTGTTCCTAACTGGAGGGCTGATTCACCACATTGAATATTTAATTTGTGAAAGTCCTTCTTGATTCCATTTCAAATTGGCCTGACCTCAATTTATTCTTTCATTCCTCTTTCACATTCTTTATGGTCTCTGCTGGTTTATTATTCACAGATCATAGCAACTAGGTCCATATTTTTTTGGTGTACTACACAGGCCAAAGAACTAGACAGCATGTCAGACTACACCCCTTCACTCCTTATCCTGGCTTGAGGTTTGCCAAGGTCTCAGGACCAATTTTATGCTACTTTCTAGGCAAACACTATGCTAATGGTATCAGTTTAAAGCTTGGCCCATGGATCCTCAGACCTGTGCTACAATGTCTGTAGATGAGATGTCTACCACTCTTAAGGCCACAGGCAGAGCCAAACCATCCTGTTCTCCTGTAGATATTGGGATTTTCCTAGTTCTGGCTTTGAGCTGTGTTTCATCTTTGACCTGCTCCATCTCATGAGGACCAAGGTCACCTTCTTTCCAAAGAAGACATCAAAACTTCACCCCAGGTTGATGTACATGATAGAGTGCTTGCCTACTATGTACAAAGCCTGGGGTTTGAGCCTCAGTACCGAAACAAATAGATTAACAATAAAATACAAAACAAAGAAGAACAAAAACAAAGTACAAAACAATACCATGATTAAAGAAGCCTTAGAGGGCTGTCCTTTGGGCTTCTTGGTTTCTGCTTCTATGGTTTGGAGTACTGGCTGTTCTTCCACAGAACCTAGTCCAATTCCTAGTACCCACATGGCACCTTACAATCATCTGTAACTCCAGTTCCAGGGGAGCAAATACCTGCTTCTGACTTCCATAGGCACCAAGCAAGCATATATGTGGTTCACATATACACATGCAGACAAAATACCCACACACATAAAAAATAAAAAAAAAATTAAGAAGGGCACTGTAGTGACAACTCTGGAATTTTGGTTTCTTGTTTTTGTTTTGTTTTTTTGTTGTTGTTGTTGTTTCAAGACAGGGTTTTTCTGTGTAGCCCTTGTTGTCCTGGAGCTCACTTTGTAGACCAGGCTGGCCTTGAACTCAGAAATCCGCCTGCCTCTGCCTCCCAAGTGCTGGGATTAAAGGCGTGTGCCACCACCGCCCAGTGGAATTTTGGTTTCTTTAAAAACACAGAAATATTATATGGATGTGATTTTGTTTTAATCCCAGGTGTGAGGTTAAGGGACTGCTTTGAACTGTCTGCAGCAGCTGACTATGTATTGCCTCATTCTCTAGCAGAGACATGGTTTTGCCAGCTGCAGATAGTTTCTGTGATTGTGTGACATTTGGAATTCTGGGAACTTTTCATAGGGTATATAAATGTTAGAGCTACACTAGGCAGGGTTGGTGGTTGTTGGTTGTTCAACGGGGTTGGCTGAAGTTTGTTAGTAGTCCTGCTCAAAGAAGAAAAAAAATAGATTCGGGGATCTCTACCTCTCTCTCCTCTCTTCTTTCTCTTCTATCTAGTAATGGGGGTGGAACTGGAGGGATAAAGGGTGGAAAAAAGAACCCACAAAATAGCAAAGACCAGATATAGGGTGCCTCTTTTTTTATGTGTAAGAGTGCTCTGCCTGCATGTTTGTTTGTACACCATGTACATGCCTGGTACCTGCAGAAGTCAGAGGGTATGACCACCTAGAACTGGAGTTACAGAGGGTGTGAGCCAGCATGTGGGTGATGGGAACCAAACTCAGGACTGAGACAAGAGCAACAAGTGTTCCTAATCACTAAGCCAGCTCTCCACTACCATTCCTCTTTTTGAGGAACATTATAGATTAGCTCTGGATTGTACATCTAGCTTCATGCCCTTCTAGATATCAGGATCTCTACCTCACCAGCACCCTTAGTTCATACTTCCATGTTTGCATGCGCCTGACTCACATAAAATATTCTCTATGTAAAATTTTTACTGAAGAATGTACACACTACCTACCAGTGAAGACCTCACCCTAGGTACTTTGCTCATCTACCTATAGTTCAGGGGACCTGATACCCAGCTAGGAGACTTTATAGTCTGACTTGCTCCCAGTGTGGGCAACATCAGAGTCTGTTCCCTTCTCCACCCAGAGCTCTGCCAAGTCTCATCATTATCTTGGTGTCCCCTGATCCCATTGTGATGCCTCAGTACACAGAAGCCTTGTATTGTGTCCCAGAACATTATGGGAACAGCACTGCTCTTCTAGGCCTCATAACTGCTGCTATGCCAGACCTTTCTGTTTTCTTCTTCCTCATAACTAGCAATGCCACACTTTGGCTCTAGTGACAACCTGCTGGGTAGCTGAATCTCCTAGGCTCTAGGACTGGCAAGATCCTGTGCTGGGATGAAAAGACAGTTCACACTCCACTACAACCCTTTCCTGCCCAGGAGAGTAGACTGAAGGTAGAATGGCCGATTTACTACCTGGAAAGCAACAGACAAAAACAAGGGACCCAATATCCCGAGCTGTGAAGTCAGAGAAGGTCGAAGAAAAAAGTTTCAAATCATCTTTCAGGATCTTTGATGAGTCAAGGGCAGGCAAGCAAGGAGAAGCTGAGAGAAACCACCCCCGCAAACACATGGTGTGTTCTGTCCACTTCACTAGTCAGAACTAACAGTGTAAATGCAAACAGACTCCATAAGTTAATTGTTTAGACATGACCTTTCAAGCGCCAGTATAAGCACCTACACTGGACAGCTCATAACCACCTGTAACTCCAGTTCCAAGGTATCTCAAGTCTTTGGCCTCAGAGGGCACTTGTACTCACAAGCACATCCCTACACGTAGACACACTGTTGCAGTCAACGAAGTTGGGAAGGAACAGGAAAGCCAAAAAGCCACCTACTCCTAAACATCAGATGTGGATCATCAGAATTTGAAGGTTGCCAGGCTAGTTTGTTTTGTTTCAATGTTTCCTCATCATGCCCCCTTTCCTCCCTTTGGCATGTAATATATATTCTATGCTACTGTATGTTGGAAGTATATAATTTAATTTTCACCTTAAAGGGGGTCATAGTCAAGAAATTGTTTTAAGGCGCAAAAGAGATTTTGGACCTTTAAAAAGTCTTGACTGAAAGACTATAGGGACTTTTGAAGTTGGCCTGAATGCATTTTGCATTATGATATGGCTATAAAACCCTAGGGCAAGGGAGAAGAATGTGGTGTTTTGAATAAGAACAGCCCCACAAGCTCTAACATTCGAATGCTTGGTCCCCAGGTGGTGAGGTGTGGCCTTGTTGGAGGAAGTGTGTCACTGGGGATAAATTTGAGGTTTCTTTTTTTTTTTTTTTTGGTTTTTTCGAGACAGGGTTTCTCTGTGTAGTCCTGGCTGTCCTGGAACTCACTCTGTAGACCAGGCTAGCCTCGAACTCTCGAACTCAGAGATCCGCCTGCCTCTGCCTCCCAAGTGCTGGGATTAAAGGCGTGCGCCACCACCACCCAGCTCAAATTTGAGGTTTCAAAAGGCAGCGGTGAATGTACAGGCCTTTAACCCCAGAACTGGGAGACACAGGCAAAGGCAGAGGCAGAGTTTGTGGCGAGCCCGGTCTACAGAGTGAGTTCTAGGACAGGCAGGATTACACAGTTAACCCTGTTTTGAAAACAATAACAAAAAAGAATAAAAGAAGGGCCAAACTAGTCAAGGGCCTATAATCCCAGCTATCCAGGAAGATCACACATTCAAGGTCTGCCTAGGCCACAAAGCAAGTTCAGGACTAGCATAAGCAACTGAGTGAGACTTTTGTCTCAAAAAGTAAAAGAGCTTAAGGGTATAGTTTAGTGGTAGAGTACTTACTTATCTAACATACACGAAGCCCTAGGTTCAAATCTCAATACCATTGAAAAGGAAAAAAAAAATCAGGCAAGGTATGGTGGCATATGCTTTAATTCCAGTACTCAGGAGGCAGAGGCAGATGGATTTCCATGAGTTTAAGGACAGCCTGGTCTATAGATAGAGTTCCAGGACAGCCAGGGTTATACAGAGAGAACCTGTCTGGAAAGAAAGAAAGAAAGAAAGAAAGAAAGAAAGAAAGAAAGAAAGAAAGAAAGAAAGAGAGAAAAGAAAGAAAAAAAATATCAGGCCAAAGAGATAGCTCAACAGGTAAGGCTGTTCTTCAAGAAGTCTCAAGTTCCCCAGGCAGTGGTGGCGCACGCCTTTAATCCCAGCATTTGGGAGGCAGAGGCAGGTGGATTTCTGAGTTGGAGGCCAGCCTGGTCTACAGAGTGAGTTCCAGGACAGCCAGGGTTTCTACACAGAGAAACCCTGTCTCAAAAATAAAAAAAAAATAAAAAAATAAAAAGACGACTCAGGTTCAATTCCAAAACCACAGAAGCTCACAGACATCTGTAACTCCAGTTCCAGGGAATTTAATACCCTCTTTTGGCCTCTAGAGGTACCAGGCACTCAAGTAGTACACAGACATATGTGCAGGCAGAATATTATATACATTAAAAATGATAATAATCATATGATCATATAAGAAGCTTCCGCGCAGTTACCTATGTCAGGCTGAAGGAAGATTGAAAGGGCTCTGAACAATATTAAGCACAAAGAACAGCCAGCCCTGTTTATCTTGCAGAATCAAGGGTCAGAAATTCCAGATTGAGCAGTAAGTAAATATTGTGGAAAATGGAAGCCAGATTCAGCCCTAAAGACAGTTACCACATGCAGGATGCTGCTTGTCTCACACAACCCCCTTTTTTGAGACAGGATCTTAAAGGATAGCCTAGGCTGGCTTTGAATGTGTCAGTTTACCTGTATCAGCCTCCAGAATGCTGAAATCACAGGCACACACCACAATGCCTGGCTCAAGATGCCATTTTTATCCCATTCAGCATTATAGTTTTCCATATTCTAGTTCCACGGACCCCAGGTTAAGAATGTCTGGGCTGCTTGCTCCAGGGAAAGGGGTGGGAGGGGACCAGCCCTTGCTCCTGGTGTTGGGGTGGGGAGAATGTCTAAGCTGGTGCAATGGCTCAGGAAGTAAAGAAACTTTCTGACAATCCACATCCACATATATGTTAAGTCACACATGTTTTTAGTGGAGGATGTAGCCCATTGGTAGAGGGTTAACCTAGCATCAAAGCCCTAGATTTAATCCCCTATAGAAAATGGAGGGGCAGGAAATGGGAGAATAGAGGTAGACATAAGGAATGTTAATTCTGAAACAGAGGACTGAGGTACCCAAATACCTAGTCAAGACATCTGGTTGGTCAGTGGTTATTTAGTGAAAAACGATGTATCAAGTCTCCAAATACCATGCATGCCTGAGAGTTTTATCTAAGGGAAATAACCCAGAAAAGGGCTTGCATGGACTCACAATCTGTCCAACCCATCCTGCTTCTAACACTGACACTGGAAGCCTCAGACCACTCAGTAGTGAAGAATTTGTACTGAAGGAAGTCACTCCTCACTAGAGTAACACACTGCAGCTATGTGGCTCTATGATACTGTTTATCACTTTTGAAGAATGGATACTTTCAGGACCACTGGTGTGGTATGCTCAGATTTAAGATATAAACAGTTGGGTGCATCCACATTACCAGCCACAGTATCTTCATGTTGTGGACAGGTCCTTCATGTTGTTCTCTGCCTCTCCATCTTCTGCACTGGAAAAGAATCACTTTAATGTAAAAGCCTTCCTATCTCTTCACTTAATGGGCCTTCTTTTGCTATTTAAAATTCTTTTATTGTGCTTTCAAATGTGCTCTACAACCAGGGATACTTGTAGTACAGTCTCATAATTGCAGGACTGAGAGGCAGGAGGGTCACAAGTTTAAGGCCAGACTGGGGTACCCCGTAAAGATCCTGTCTTAAAATAAAAAAAAAAAAGCACAAAAAAAATTATTTTCCAATTTATTTTTAATAGAGTACATTTATCCCATGAGTGGACGACTAAACAAACACTGAACGAGGACCCCACCTCTAAACTGCAGTTTTGCTTTTTGTTTTATTCTTTTGTATTTCAAGGATGAATCTGTTTTATGCCCGAAAAGTACCAGTTGAAGAAAAACCGCCGGCTGGCTAAAATAAAGTTGAAGGTCGGGACCTGGCTCAGTCGCCCATTCCACGGCATAAAATAACACGTTTCGGGAGGCAAAATCAATACACGCCGACAGATGACAGGGTGCCTGCACTTGTCATTGGACATCGCTTCCTTCCCGGCGCTTGGTGCAGTCACATCCCGCCCGCAATCCCGCCGGTGCCCATCACTGTCTCCACCCTACCTGTGCGTCCAAGCCCAGCGAAGCCCGCCACCTGGGCGCCCGGTGCCAACGGCCCCTAAGTTGACCTGGGCTGACTCCAGGACGAGGTGCTCCCAGTCCCCGATGGGGTTCAGGTCTGAGGCTGCCACTGGAGTTTATGCAGAGCCTCCGCCCACGCCCACGGAAGAGACAGCCAGCTTTCCCACGCCGCCGACTCGGGGCCGAGCAGCTTCACCGAGAGGTGTTCAGAGCCAAGGGCCAGAGCCGCTCACCCTCTCCCAGCCCGCTAGTAGAGATCCTAGGGGTTTTAGGTTTGAGACACACATTGGTGGGCGGGGAGGGAGCCGGATGTGACGCACAGGAAGCCGAGGCGGACTACGCGCCGCTACCGGAGAGGATGAGGAAACGCCCCCTGAAGGCACACAGTGGCACCTTCCGGAACGCTCCACCGCGACCCACCGTGGGGAACCACAACGCCCTAACGGCGCATTTCTCACCTTCCGTAACTGTCCGCCACAAACCTGGGGCAGGCGACGATGCGGGGGTCACACCATCGCCTTGTGGCCTCCTGTTGGCACCTTCCGGAACATCACACCACTCCAGGGTCTGTGATGCCGGACGGATCCACAAGTGTCGCTCCTCTCGCCTGTGGTACATTCCGGAACGTGCCACCGAGACCAAGGTGGAGGAGACAATCTTCTGAGGCCGCGAAGGTACCGACCTCTAAGTCAAACCAAGGTTTTGATTTCAAGGGAGCCTAAAATCTGACTAGAAGGTCAGAGGAAGAGAACCGCTCACTGGCGAACATACGAATAAACCCCGTACGCTCCGAGTCTTGGATGATGCCGGGCCGGGGGCGGGACCAGTTCTGTAGGGGCGGGGCCAGAACCATAGCGACGGGCGCTCATTGGTCAAGCCTCAGAGGTTCCGCCTTCAGGCAGGACGCTTGCTCTGAAGCCTGAGCTCCCCTTGTAGCCTTTAGCTGCGGGAGCTGTTCAGGCCTAAAAATACCTTGAGGTCATTTTTGGGGAGGTTTAAAGAGGTGCTTTGCCTCAACTGGTGATGCTCTGGCAAAGCTCTGGGTTTTGGTCAAACCTTCCTTTGTTTTTTTTTTTTTTTTTTTT